TCCCAGACGTTTCGCCGGCATCGTCAGTGAGTTTTACCATTCGTAGCAGCATATTACAACTCGTCAAAGACACAAGTGAAGCTGATCCTTTAACCAAACGTGTGCTAAACAGTTATGTTATCTCCCCTTCTGTCTTTCCCTATTCATATTTCCTGTATCCTCCTATCACGCCTTCACTGTCACAATTTTTTACTTGCTTAATTAAATGTGGTACGGTGTATCCTTTTTTAGCGGCTTTTATGAGAATCATTCGCACTCCACACTGGCTTTCTCACCCCCCTTCATCCTTGTGCTAGAAGTTTCGATCCGAGTCTGTCATATTGTTACGCAATCCTTCTTCCCTATGTCTTACCAAAGTGTCTCTCTTGCCCCGTAAGATCCGTCTGCCCTCTCCCTGGTTCACATATGGTCAGGTCTTTGCCACATGGACCACGTCTCTTATAAAAACTGCTGTCCTCCCACTAGCACCCAACGCCGCCGCGTCTATCCCCTTTCTATCTCTAATATCAAGTCTATGACTTCCCATGCCCTAGCCTCTTGTGTGCCAACCCACAAATGTTGTGGTACTACTTGCTTTGGTTAGGTTTAGTGTTGAACCACAACGTTTGTGGGTTGGCGTTTGTAGTGCATGACAAGTCATAGACTTGGTATTAGAGATAGAAAGAGGATAGACGCGGCGACGATAGTAGCTAGTGGGCTGACAGTAGTTTTTAAAAGAGGCGTGGTCCATGTGGTAAAGGCATGACCATTACACTTACTCAGAGGTTTTAGCCTCGAATTAGTCACCCAGCCGCAGAGGAGGGGTAATAACACCTCCAGTAGCAAATAGAGAGAAATACCTGAACCAGAGATCGCAGATGGATTCTACGAGGCAAGACTGAGACTCCTGTAAGACCTAGGGAAGGAGGACTGCGTAACAATATGGCAGACTCTGATCAACATTCCCAGCACAAGGATGAAGGAGGTGAGAAGGCCAGTGCGGAGTGCGGAGGGTTCTGATGAAAGCCGCTAGGGCAGAAGGGGATATACCACAACTGATTAGCACACGTTTGGTCAAAGGATCGGCTTTATTTGTCTCTTTGATGAGTTTTAATATGGTGCTACGAATGGTAAAACTCACTGACGATGCCAGCGAAGCGTCTGGGAATGTACCCCGTCTACGGTCCGATTTTGAAAATGATTATGCGTATAATGGACTTCGGACAAGATGTGTTCCTCTAAGTCTTCCTACCAATATGACTGAGTTGCGAACACAAGGTCAAACAACTTCTAATTTCATTCATTTGCAAGAATGTAGAATAAGGTTGAAATAGCCCACTAAATCAGGTGAGGCCTCATTAAGATCGCGATGTTAGTTGTATATAAAAAGCGACTAGGGTTAGAGCCAGCCACCTTCTTTTCTTGGTTTAGTATATTTTTGCTCTATTTCGTAAAGTATGGAATCTTGCTCTGATGAAGTCTGTCACAGTACAGACGAGAGCTTAGCACAGTTTCATTGGGGTCGCCGGACGGTGAGCCTAGGACTTCTTCTCACAATTCAACAGTCTTCCTTACGTCCCAATCCTCCTTCGGTTTATGATGAGACCACATCACGAATTCCTTCCAACCAACTTTCCCTTCGAAATGGAGAGTCATGCCACAATATTTCATTAAGGAATTCTTTAAAACCAAGCTGCCAGATAGCAAAGTAATCATCCATATATATAACCAATAGTTTCAGAACTAGGAGTGACTCTTTAAAAAGCCTGACTTCCAATTGAGCCATGTAGTTATTAGCTAAAACTGGAGACAAACACGATCTTATAGCTATTCATTATAAAGTTCATCAATCGCATGATTGACTTCTTGCTTATCTTATTTCCTGATATTATCTCTGGGCGTGGATCTAAGTTTAATCCTAACGTCCGGGAATGTACTACGTCCACAGACCGACTTTGGAAATGATCATGCATACAATGGACTTCGGACTAGGTGCATTTCTCTAAGTCTTCCTACCAATATGACAAAGTTGCGAAAGCAAGGTCAAACAACTTCTATACAACAAAAGGAGACTGCGACCACACAAAAAGCCACACCATATTGGTCTTCATACCTTTAATCCTAATGCCTGTAAGGCCCCATCTACCGGTATATTCGTGTACATCGATACTACATCAAAACTTACTATTTAATCTTCTTGTTCTTTTATTTGCTCATCTATTAACCTTACACAGTCATAAGAATTCTTTATTAAAGTTTCCAAAAACCTAAGATCAACTTTAATTTACCAAGTAGGAATCGTGATGTATTGTGCATCACACCAACCTTATTATTTACAATGATCTCATTTTCTAATTTGGAAATGTAATTATTAGCTAAAATATGGGCTATACAAGATCACATAGATAAGTCCCATATTTGCTCATGCAATTCACCATTGAAGTTATAATATGTATTATACATGTCCAAATTGACTTATATGATAACCAAATCTTTGCTTAACTTTATACCTGCTATAATTTCAAGGTTTTGATCTAGAGTTAATTCTAATGCCATCATTACCTCATTCATTGGAATGTTAGGGTACATAGACTGTAAATAAAAACTTACCAGCAAGTCTTTTATTTCTATCGTTTGATCATCAAGTAACTTTATTAAGTCGTAAGAGTTCCTTACCGAAAACTTTAAAGTTTCGGAGATGTGCCTTATCTGAGTAGGTAAAAATCGTGATGCTTATGCATCACGCTATCTCTATTATTTAGAGTAATCGTAAATGGGGTACCTTGTTTATGAATTTTGTGCTGACTATAGGTGTTTGGGGATATAGCATCTCGCTGAAGGAGTCCGTTCATTTTCCACTTCTCGACTGTGTACACTTTGCAAAAGACCCCTAGATCTGACCTAAAGGCTTTCTGTCAGGCCCCAAATTATAGTTTCATATGCTGTATCATCGTCTAATGCATCTAAAACACAAGCCCAAAAATAATTCAACACTAGAAGATCATACACTAGTTTATTTGTGTAAGGAAACAACTGAAACCGAAATCACTTACGGTTCGGGAAGTAACTTCATTCATTTGCAATCATGTAGAGTATGGTTGAAGTAGCCAAACCAATCATTAAATACATCATTAAGATCGTGAAGTTTGTTATATAAAAAGCGACTATAGTTGCAGCCGACCACATTTTCTCTTGGTTTATTATATTTTTGCTCTAATTCGTGGAGTTTGGATTCCTACTCTGATGATG